ATGATTTCTGAAGGATCATGTGAGACTGAAGACTGGAGTAATGGTTGATGAAAATTCAGCTTTGCATCACAGAAATAAAATACATTTTAAAGTATATGAAAATAGAAAACCATTATTTTAAATTAAAATAATATTTCACAATATTACTATTTTTCTGTATTTTTGATCAAATAAATTCCACCTTGATGAGCATAAAAGTTTTCTTAAAAACATTACATATTTTACTGATCCCAAACTTTTGAACTGTCTCTCAGCTATTAAGGTTTCAATTCCCTGTGGCATTTAATTACAACTATTCTTATTTTTTCACTTGAGCTAAAAGTCAGCTGTTGATATGTGACAGTAAATCTTTTCCACGTGGTTAAAGTTCAAATATACATTTTCTACTCAACTCCTAAAAAGTCTTACAGAAAGGAGCTGTGTTGTGTGTTTCCTTTTAGCTGCGATCTCAGTCCCAGAGCGATGTGTAACTGTTCATAATTACCATGCAGAGTGGCGGCCCCCGAGCAGCCATACATCAGCTCACTTACTCAACACTGAGAGCGGCTTTTCATCGACAATCAGAATAAGGGATAAAAACAAGGTTTTAGTAATGGCTCTTTATCTCAGCATCCTGGATCCATTCCTACACATTCCCTTTCTCACTATAGAGCCGCAGGGAAAAAACATATTGTGTTTCTGATAAAGCAATGACTTCCCTCAGCGCACAGAACATCCGGCCAGGAACTGAGGATTTACAGATCACGGAAGGGTTGTGATGTTAACTATAGACCGCAACAGAACCAGACGAGAACCAGGAACAACTCTGGAACGAATATTCAGGTTTGATTTTAGTAACCAGCCACTTCCATGAGAACATTTGAGTGACTTCTCCTTGAAATATCAAACATGGCGAGGAGACATTCCAGCTCTTGAAGCAAGAGAAGAATGATTTCACTCAGACTACGACACAATGAGCTATTGTGAAGGCAAGGCCTTGTGGGATAGATCAGGGGTTACTGGGGCCCTAAACAGGGATCGCCGATGACAGAACTGACCTCGAACTCTGGCGACCCTGATGATTAGCCAATCAGGAGGAGGAGGCTTAAACTTGAAATAAAGGCTTCTGACAGCTCTGAATACATAGATAATGTATTAAAAAAAATTTCAAATTGTGAGGTCTTATCTGATTCTAAAAATATAATATAATATAATATAATATAATATAATATAATATTTATTGCTAATAAAACAAAACATGTATATATAATTTAACAGGCAGACAGACAGAAATGCAGATAGATAGACAGAAATACAGATAGATTATAGACAGACAGACAGATAGATAGATAGATAGATAGATAGATAAGGGCCTTTCGCACCGCGGGAACCTTTTCATAGTACCAGAACTAATTGTGGAACTACCCACTTTTTGGCGTTTTCTTTCTGCCGGAACTGGGTGCGATTTTAGTACCGGACTGCCTTTTTCGAGAACCAAATTAGCTCCTACTCCGGAGCAGGGTCTAACCAGCACAACTGGTACTAATCGCGACGCAAGTAGACATTGATTGGCCAAACGCGTACGAAAACGCCTAATAATAATAATAATAATAATAATAATAATAATAAAGCTGCTCATAAAATGTTAATGTAACTTCCTGATGTTAATGGTCAACATTTTCTAAAGGTAAAGCACCTCCATTCAATGGCTTTTTACACTGAAAAAAGAAAAAAAAAATCTAAGTCTGTCTTCTGACCTATTCTGGAAACAGTGC